TAAAACGAGATGAAATATAAATTTAATATTTTTAGAAAAATCTATAACTTTTAGGATTTTTTTTAGAAAATCGAGATAAAATATAAATTAAAAATAAATAATATGTTCTCCCAAACTTCATAAAAATATTGCTAATTTCTAAAAACTGTTTGAAAATTTATTTCGAACACATTTTTACATATATATATTGTGCAATAGTTCAAAAATTCATCTAAAAATAATAATAGTGCAATAAAAATAATAAATAATTTTATATAAAAAAGGGTAAAAAACAATAAAAGTTTCTCATAGAATGATGAAATATTCTGATTGACTATTTATAAAATTACAATTAAGAAAGGGGATAAAATTTAGATAAAATAGAGAAAAAATATAAATTTAAAATAGGGATAAAATAAATTGAACATTTTTAGAAAATTCTATTCTTTATTTGTTTTTTTAGGAAATAGAGATAAAATACTATTTTTCTCAACATTGGTGAAAATCAAAATAAAAGTTCATTTTCACTTTATTTTTATAAACTGTTTGAAAACTAGATAACGCAAAATGAATAGATTTCGAAAACATTTTTTCCTTTCATCTAAATAAAATAATAATTATAAATTAAAAATTCAAAAATAATTTGATATAAAATAGCTTAAAAAATAATTAATGTTTCTCACACGATGATTAAAAAGTTTGATTAACTGTTTATAAAATTACAATTTAAAAAGATACTTCAGTTGAAAATAAAAATAAGATATAATTTTCAAGTAGATTAAATAAATTTCTCAACTTTGATAAAAAATTTCATTTTGTACTAATTTATAAGTAAAAATCGCTTGAAAATTAGGCTACACATAATGAGCAGAAACACACAATAGAAAATAGAAAAGTCTAAAGTTTAGATTTTTTTAGAAAATAGAGATAATATATAAATTTAAGCATAATTTTTCAACATTGATAAAAATCAAAAACATAAGTTGATTTTTGCTAATTTCTAATTTTTAACTGTTTGAAAATTAGACAAGCCCAAAATGAGTAGATTTCGAAAACATCTCTACATACATACTTTGAGATAGTTCAAACAAACTTTCATCTAAATAAACACTCATTTATAATTTGAATAAATAAAATAAGACTTTAAAACGTGATTTTCATTAACGTCACTGGCAAGTAACACCGCTTGTCATTCACAATCTTATCACACCAAAATTAAGTGATATAAATTAAGATATGTGTAAATAGAGCTCATAAAAGTGATAGTCGACGGTAGTCCTAGGAGTCATTCTAGGATAAGATACTAAAATAATTTACTGGATATATTTTCACACCACATGTACTTTAGTTGATATATATATATATATATTTTTTTAAATAATTCCAATGAATGACCCCCAAGCTGCACTGAACTTCACAATTTCATCACCAAAATTCATATCACCACAAATCACTAAAATTCACTATTATCACTAAAGGAAACTATTATTACCATTAAAGGAAACTCACCTTGGCGCCAATTTGATTTCCGCATTGTCCGGCTTGGATGTGTACGATTTCCCTCATATTTGTTTATTATTTTTTTTAAAGAAATTAATAAATATTTATTTATCTCTTCTTGTTCACTTGAAATTTAACTTTTTCTTGAGTTAATTGTTTTGTTCGCAAGCTCGGAACAACGACTGCGCCGGCTGGCGATGGTTCAACCGTTTTTGTAGTCGGGGAGACACCGGCACGCCCAACGGAGCGTTCTTATTGGACACAATACACTGGTGAATATGCGAAGAACAGGGGTGGGTTGTGCAGATTGTTGCACATTTGTAACGAATTATGTTTTTACTTTTCGTAGGGTAAGTTATAGTAATTGCAAAAATATCGAAAAATAATTTTTTTTGCATATGTTTACGTTTCAGAGGTTTCTGAGCATTTTGGCTAAATTATAAAAAATGGATGTATGTGTGTGTGTATGTGTGTGTATGTATGTATGGATACAATGTTTCATTTATTCGATTCCTATTGTTAGGGAGATAAGCTGAATAGTTTTTGGCAAAGACAGGTCTGGCCGTTTCAGAGATGCGGAGCAAAGAGTGCAGAAAATAGAAATCGAGTTTTTTGAGAGAACAGAGCATCCGATTTGAATAATCCATAAAACATTCAATTCGTAATGATGGGGAATAGTGGTGATTAGATTTTGACAAAGGCAGGTCTAGCCGTTTCGGAGGAACATAGCAAAATGTTCAAAAACAGGCAGTTTTTGAGAGAACTAAGCATCCGATTTGTATTATTCAAAAATAAACTCCTCTATCCTCTATCATATATTTTGTCTATAAATGAAAGTTATAGTGTTTATAATAATCTATTTGAAAACATTTAATATTCTTCGAATATTTCATACGGTACGGGAAGTTCCAGCAATTTGCCTTAAGGCACGATGCCATACACTACTATTAACTTCCCGTAGGGTAAGTTATTGTAATCGTCCAAAAATCGAAATTGAGAATTTTTACAATTTTTTTAATTTCGTCCACGTTTTCGGCCGCACGAATCAACCGATGGTTCAAAAAACATTCGATTCCTATTGATAGGGAGATGTGCTGATTAGTTTTTGACAAAGGCAGGTCCTACCGTTACGGAGATATGGAGCAAAGAGTGCAGAAAATAGAAATTTTTGAGAGAACGGAGTATCCGATTTGAATGATCTAAAAAACACTCAATTTGTAATGATGGGGAATAGTGGTGATTAGATTTTGGCGAAGGCAGGTTCAGCCGTTTCGGAGAAACGGAGCAAAATGTGCAAAAAATGGCAGTTTTTGAGAGAACTAAGCATCCCACTTGAATGATTCAAAAAATAAGCTCCTCTCTCTTATATTTTGTCTATAAATGACAGTTACAGTGTTAATAATAACCTATTTGAAAACATTTAATATTCTTCGAATATTTCATGACGGTACGGTAAGTTCCAGCAATTTGCCTTAAGGCAGATACACCTCTATTAACTTTCCTTAAGGTAAGTTATTGTAATCGTTAAAAGTCGCATTTGAAAATTTTTGCATACCTTCACGTTTTGAAGGTTTCTGAACATTTTGGCATACCTTAGAAAAAGTGAAGGTGTGTATGTATGTGTGGATACAAATTTTTGTCCACGTTGTCAAGCGCACGGATCAACCGATTTCAACGATTCAGAAAACTTTCGATTTCTATTGTTAAGGAGATGTGCTAATTAGTTTTTGACAAAGGCAGATTCATCCGTTTCGAAGATATGGAGCAAAGAGTGCAGAAAATTCGAGTTGTTGAGAGTAATGATGGGGAATAATAGTGATTAGACTTGGCGAAGGCAGGTCCAGCCGTTTCGGAGAAACGGAGCAAAATGTGCAAAAATCATTCAAAAAAATAAGCACCCAAATCTTATATTTTGCCCAGTGATGTTATGCTAACATTTTTTTCCCGAAACGCAAAAATAATAAACCGATTCAAAAACCGGTTCTTATGTTTGTTCCGGTTCCGTTCAAAAAGGACATAAACAAAAATCATTACAAAACCCATTTTGTGAATATATATGTATGTTAATTACAATAATAGGAACGTTTAATAAAACTTAGTTAAAATAAAAATGACAAAATTCACTTATCAAATCATGTTGAAGTTATGGTGTTTATAATAATCTATTTGAATACATTTATTATTCTTCGAATGTTTCATTGGGGTACAGGAAGTTCCAGCAATTAGCCTTAAGGCACGATGCCATACACCACTAGTTTTCATTTAATTTCTATAAAAAAGACTAAATATCGGGTAAGTGGCCAGAGCAGCTAGTCCTAAAAAAAGGTCGAAAGTATATTTTGCCGTTTTGAGGAGCCTGATGTCAAGCGGTAGTGTAGTGGCAACGATTGTCATTTGCTATCTACCTATAGCAATATATTTTCTAGTGAAAATTATTCGGCAAGATATACTTTCAAATTGTAGACTATATTATAAGTAAATTCGAGTAAAATATTCGACATATTACAGAAATTATAATAATAAAATTTATAACTCAGAGATGAGACAACTGTTTGAGATATAAAATTAGCCCAATAGCTTATAGAGCTCTTAATTTATAATTGCTGTTCAAAAACAATAAAAAAATCTATAAACGCGGATGTACAAGCATGTGGATATAATTGTAAATATTTCCAACCTTTACGCTCCAGACTTTTTTTTTTAAATATACCAGTAACTCGAATATACTTTTTTGCAAACTCATACTTTTTTTTTAGAAAAATTTAGAAAAAAAATTAATGAAAAAACCTGGTCTAATTTGATGGTGCATAGTGGCGACGACTATGGGGCTTTCTTATTTGTAATTATACATCTCTACTTACCGCATATTGATCCTTTGCACTCGAAGAGCAACAATATGTTGGAACGGTGCATTTTCTAGCGAAACATATAGGAGCCAATACTCCGATAAAATAGAGAAAAAAATATGCCAACGCTATGTTATAGTTCTATCTCATGATTTAGTAGTAAAATCCGTTAAATACTTTGTATTTGCTGTGCAATCAGGCGTTTTCCACAAAAAATCTAACTCACGCATTTGTTATCAAGAACACATTAGGAAGATGCACTTATGATGAACTTGTTTTTTTGGCATTTGTTTAGGTAGGTTAGTATTTTAAGTTTTATGTGTGAAACGCCGTAATGTGTGCAGTACACAGATTTTTAACAGTTTGTTACTACCAATTTATTCGAAGACAGGACCGTAACATATCATTGTCCTAACATTTCTATTTTATCAGAGAATTGGCCCCTCTAACTAAAAAATTCACAGTTTCGATATATTGTCACCATTCGAATGCAAAAGTTAAGCATTTGGCAAAAAGAGGTGTATTATTTCATATAAGAAACTTTATCGACTGACGCATGTATATATTATGACATATTTTAATTCTGCCATCAAGCAGAAAACTTATAATATAATTAATATTATTATATTGTAACGAATATAATAATATTCTGTAATGTTGACCTCATTGACATACCTCATTCGTGCTCCGTTGCGACCTTAGGCCATCCCATCTTAGTAAGGACTATGGATCTCTAGGTTTTATATTCATCTCAAAGTGCTTGATATCAAGCAGTAGTGACATATGTTTTACTTGAAAATATAGACGACAATATGTTTCCAAGTCAAAGTAGTCATTCCCCGACATTGCTACAACAAATTAAAAAAATATCAGTATTAAAACAAATCTAAAAATAAACATATATATTTGGTTAAACATTGCCTTCTAAAAACCAAATGCAGCGTTATTAGGAAGTCAATACAATAAATTTATAGGAAACATGGAAGTAGAAGTTACGCATGAATAAAAGCATGCATATAAGTGTTAATAAACATTAGGAATAAAATAGTTATAGTTTTAATAAATATTAGAAGGAAGGGGAATCACAGATTTTCTGGTGCCCTCACATCATGAACCGGCCATCGGGCAGACAACCGATTTTTATTATATATATTCACCGAAAAATATGTTTTAATTTTTTTTTTATGACAACGCATCGAAATAAATGTACCTGATTATTTATATGTACCTAATTATTTACATTTACTACATTTACTTGATATGTGATACAGAGTTTATTAAGTTTTAACAAGTGTTGATACCAGATAAAGCATGTTTTGTTATTAAAGTAAGAATGTAGAGAGTGCAATGTTTTATAAATCTTTACATTAAATGTTTCTATGATTTATTAATATTTTACAAAACACGATTACATATACCATAAAGAATAACGGCTATACACTTGCATATGAAAAACCTAAAAAATATAGATAAGTTAATAATCTTAGTATTCATAACACAAAATTGAAGAAAAAGATTTTAGAGAATCTATATATAAATATAATAAACAAAAGTTTATATTTACACCTATAAAACAATTCCAATTATTATAAAGATAAAAGTTATGTTATGTTTTTAAAAAATAATGAGGTTTGTCTACGTTTTGAGACCTTATTTGACCCATCTTCAGTGTATTAACGGACAAATAATTTTATAGAAAAACATAAAACTATAAAAGACATGTATATGTGTCATATTTATAAAATAGAATTGCTTCATAACTGTCTATTACATAATAAAATTGTTGCCTCCTAAAAGTTGACTGAAAGAAAATCTGGTACTAATACTAACTATTATTTCATTTACTTTATCTAATTAAAAAAACAACTAGAAAAATATGGCATGAGAATGATATAATAATAAGATAATTTGATGACAGAGAGAGAAAAATAGAAACCTGGAATAAATTTTGGTGAAAAGGTTTATGAAAATAAATAAAATATTTGTTTAAATAAATTTAGCATTATTCAAGGCTGTATATGAACCAAAGTTCATGAAAGCACAGCCAAAATGATAAGCCCGAAATAGTTTCTTTGCATGGTCAACCCTGGACTCTGAATAGTCACAAATTCGGCTAATAAGCCCTCAAGATACAGCATAATTGTCAAAACAACTATTCACATCTAAGTATTGTCAACTCCAAGGCGATAATTAATATTATTATATCATTCTTCAACAATTTTAACTTATTTAAATTCAACAAAATTTCTTACATCGTAACAGAAGGAGTTTCAATGGACATCTGTTTGCACAGATGGTCAGATGGACACGAGGCGACGTTGCAGTCTATAGCGATTTTTTGTGGTTTCTTGGTATTATGTAATTATTTTGATTAACAAATGTTTATGTAACTAATGATGATTATCAAAAATGTATAAACAAATGGAAAAGAACACTATTCAAAATTATTAGTAATGAAATAGAATACGCCAACCCACCAAATGCAAGCAAGCAAACCATTAAATTTGATAGGTCAAAATTATTTTTTTGTGTGTTTTTGGTATTGCGCTATTATTTTGATTGACAAATATTTATGTACTAAATCACGCTTATTAAAAAAGTATAAGAATTAAAAGAATTTTTGCTAAAAATACTCCATCCCGTCAAATAAAATTTACACCAACTAATTATCATGTATCTTCGATTTATACTAGACTTGAGTTTGTAGATCAATCGTATTACTATACATATTATGAGTGATTCTATAACGAATTATTTTGACATATTTTTTGGCATATTTTAATTATAGTTACATGTACTAACTCAACTTATTAAGCAATATTAAACACCTGGCTAATAGAAATGAATAAAATAGATTTTAATTTATTGCAAAATTTTCCTGATGCAAAAATTTGCAGGATTAAAGTGGTTTTATTTTTATAATTTTGGACAGCTACATTAACTATGGATTTAAATGAAAGCATCCTCATGGTTATTTGGTTTCACAAAACCATAATTACCTTGTCCATACTCGCAACGTTTTCATGCAACTTATCCAGTAATGAAAAATAAGAATTAAACTTGGAAGAAATGGTTCATAATTAAAAGTATCTTATATCAATTTAATAAAACAATGCTTGGTGATTTCAGAATATGCTAAAGTGTTCATATTTTTGAAGTAAATCTTCTTTAGGGTGTAAATCCGTACAAAGGCAACGGAAGTGCGTTACGGCCGAGTCGAGTGCCAATGATTCGTTATTCGCCCTCGATGATATCATTCTTATACGGGCCGATTGTGATTAGTCGTCGAGTCGTCGTGTTTGTGAATAGAGATCTGTCGTCGAAAATCGGCATAGATAAATAAACATTTATAAGTTACATCGTAGTACAAATCTTGATTTAATAAAAAATGCTTGAATCAAAAGAATATTTTACCCTGTTCCTTGAAAATAATAAAACAAATTAAACATTTGTGTCGTGAAATAAACGTAAGTTCATTGATTAGAAATTATTTCTATAATATTCGTAGTCTCTATAAATCTTTGAAGTTAGGAAAATATTTTTTAGGCAAGACAGATATTGCAGCTGTTCAAAGAATGAGATTATCGCCAGCGAAAAAGTAAAAAAATACAAGCAGTCAATGAATGTACGTTAATTTTAATTACATGAAGTTCTTCAAACACAATTACATGATGAGTGAAGTTGCAAAAACAATATTTGTTTAAACGTTGTTAACATAACACACTGTGTGAACGAATATTATAGAATTTATTGATCAGCAATTACTTTATTTCTCAAAACATTATTCAAAATTGTTATATGATGTATTTATTTTTACTTAAATGCCATCTTGTACAGTAGCAAATAAGTTTTACTTCAATCGCGTGTGAACCTTACGCGCATTCCTTTTTTTTAATTTTTGGCATAAAACATATATCAAAATTATTTTGAATAAGACAATTACTTTGCTTTAATTTAAAAAATTAAAAATTATAATATCCTTTTGTTAGAAACTGATAATACAGATTCTGCGGAAATAGTGCTGAAAAGCCCATTTTATTGCCAAAAAGAGTATTTTTCGAAATCTATGGGTTTTGTACCACTAAATAGAAATTATTGAAATTCTTACAAGATTCACAATTATAACATACCAGTAAATATTTCAATTATTTGAGCAAATTATTCGAATTTTCAGTTGATAAATTTAAAGGATAATATTTTAATTAATGCAAGGTTTTATAATAATGTACATAAAATTTTTATAGCAAAAAACTTAAAAATTACTAATAACTATTAACATACTTTTAAAATTCACAGTTTAAACAAATAGGTTTGACTATAAGCAGTTATTTCAATTATTGGAGTAAACTTTTCTAATTTTTAGTTAGAATTTTAGTTTATAGTTCTAATTAGAATTTAAGTCCATTGATTACAGGAAACTGTACAAAAAAACATAATTTTGATATTGATAAACTTAAAAATCAGAAAATCTATCGAATAAGAGTATTGTAAAATATCTAATCTTTGTGCAGTGTAAATATAAATTTGTAATATGAAGTTTACTTATAGTTGAAAAAAATTAAATGTCAAAAATCTTAAAACTAAATTAAATAAAATTTTAATATATCAGCATCTTAACATTTTTCTGTATATTTGTTTATAATATGGGTAGATCGAACTTTTTATCTTAAGTCACCATGTAACACACGACTACTTAATATGTAACAATATTTACTCGAATGGACTGAATTTAAATGTTTAAGACTTTCTCTGAAGAGCCGTGTGCCGTGGGAGTAGGTCAATATGTGAGTAAACAAAACAATTATTAAAAAATATTTGAAAAGCATTGTTAAAAAAAATATATGCGATGTTTATATTAGGCTATAATTAAACAAATTTAGTTTGTTTTAGAGAAATAAGTATACATAAAACTTATTTCTTTATGACCGACAATTCAATTTCTTTTGAATTTTAAAACAAATTTTCATTAACTAAATATGATAATTAAAAAAAAACTAATAATACAAGAGTACCTGTCGGATGTACACAAAATAACTAAAATAAAACTATACTATAAATAAAACTAATTAATTTGATTGCCAATTGATATTTTTTAAACACTCTTATTATATATGTAAATCATTTACAGTAAATGTATCAATAAAATTTATCACAAACATACATATTTAATAATAAAATTATTATTAAACTGCATGAACAAACCAAAAGCCAAACAAGGCATTTACATCCATTTACAGCCTAAAAGTGCGGCCCATAATTCCAAACTTTAACGAATTTTTATAATTAAAGTGCTTTTCGTAAGCCTATGCTTTTGGATGTTTTTTGGATCATAAATTATGTGCAAATTTCATTAAATTTGTCAAAAAAAAAAAAATTCAACAATTTCTTACGAAGAAACGGCGCGATTGATCTTTACTAAAACTTAATTAGCACGATTCCCAACTGATATTGTCCGAACAGTCATTGATTTCAACTTCTAAAACTTCCAGCCAATTTTCAAAATAGATTCAGAATTTTCAGCAAAAATGCTGACAAAAATATTAAATAAGAAACTGTTCGGCTGATCCTTGCGCAAAACTAATCAATGCGAATTCTTACAGAGTTTCATCAAATGGTTTTTAAACTTCTAAAATCGGTTCTGCCGTTTTAAATAAAACACCTACAAAAGGCCAAATTTTGGCTCACACTCACACTTTATCTAATTTTGTTGTCAAACGTTTCAGAATGACTTGATTGCCAAGAAAACAATATTGGAAAATAGGATTTTTTGGCAAGAAAAAACTTCTCTTTTCAGGAGTTAATAATTGAATTCCAAACTATTTGGTAAAAAATACCAAAGTATTTTACT